AGTTTTGGAAGACACAGGCAAGACATTTTTGTGTCCTGTAGCTATGGCCAGGCAGAGGGACCATGAATCAAGGTCCATTTTATGAGTCAGGCACTATAACAGCATCAGTGACAAAGTCTGAGGAGGAAGAACAGGAACCAGAGAAACATGTTTCAAACTGGGTAAGCCAGGTAAGTGGTAGGGTCCGCTTAAAGGCAGCAAAGAACAGAGTGTGCAACAGAAAAAGGGCTGGGGTGAGAAGCTGCCAAGAACTGAAATAAAGTCAAGCAGGCCAAATAGCACAACTTGGTGCCAAGCAAGGCAAACAGCTTTAGCTGAGCAACAGCTAAAACACAGTGAAACTACATCATACTCTGGATGTGTAGAGCACCTAACCCATCAGGAACACAAAAGAGTTCTCAGCTGATCAGAGTTCGTGGGGCTCCAGCCCCCTTGAGACTCTGACATGGAGCCAGTGGTTGCCTAAAAAAGGGAGAAAGGAGGTTGGCTTGGTTAGGTGAAATTAGAGTGGAACTGAGACAGAAATTACATTATTCAGCTTAACCTCTCCCCAGGATCATAGAGCAAAACAATTATGAACAAAGGCAAACACTTTTGTGTTTAATCTCTGAAGAAAATCCTCTATCAAATATATGGGACAGCATTTCTCTGTATGTGCAGGCAAACATAAGATTTGGATGATGTACTTTGGTCTTTTCCCCACAGACTACTAAGGCTGGAACTTAGGGAGTTAAAGGGGAAGTCTAGGAAACAGAGGGTTGTTACTAACAGATAAGGTCAAGGAACAGATAACTCCTTCAGATAAACTTGTACAGTTTTCTGGGACTGACCTACCACATTCCCAAGGTCCTCTATATGTCTGTCCCTAACATGAGTTTCCTTTGGTTTAGTTTTCACCATCAACCAACTTCAAGGTTTCTTCCAGACTCGGTTTCTCACAAGTCACTCCCCTACTGACAGTTGTGTCTGGGGCTCAAGGCCTTTTTTGCTGCCTCAACTCTTGACACAGTGGGTGGTGGAAGCAAAGCAAAGTGTGATCATGTCATTAGCTGAGATTAAAGGTTTTTGTAAATAGCACAATGCATAACAAGTAGCAAGGAATACAACAGTTTATGACATGTTGGTGGGTTGCACAGATGTTCAAAACCATTAAGATAAAAATACTTCTTTTAGACTGCAACTTTCTTTAGTGTGACAGTAGCAGTCCTGCAAAGCCTCTGCCAGCAGCTGTGAATGAAGTGTTTTCCCCTCTGTGACACAGGGCACACCTGGGGTGCTCACCATAGACATTGAGAACACAATTCCCACTCTCACTCCCCCAGGGAGTCCCGACTTCTCCCTGTACCTCTGGTTCCAGCTGTGGGCCTAGCAGAAGTGAAGCTTCCAACCTAGAACATGGGTCTTCCTAAAAGAAACTTGCAATTGCCAATTAGGCCTTTTAAGAAAGCAACTGCTGACAAAGTTACAGAAGTCCTAAATTGTGATGCAGATGCCAAATTGATGTTTTTGGTACATCTATTTTGCACAACACCCATTTGAAGCAGCAGTTACTTTTCTGGTGGCCCAGCAGACAGAGCTCCCATACCGACTCCAGTAACATCACATGGGTCTATTACACAGGACAGGGAGGTAAAGTCAGTCCTGGACTCAGAAGCTTCTCTTTGTAACACAGGAGTAAAAAGGAAGACATGCCAGTGGCTTGACATCCACTCTTGAAAAGCTTGTATTCAGAAGATTAACTATTTGGCTTAAGTGATGACTCTCATACACTGCAAAATTAAGTTACGTAAGAGAAATTGTGTCAATAGTTTCATGTCAATGGCAAGATCTAACTATATAAAATCAAAAAGATATAACCTTAATAAATTTAAATGCTGTCTTGGTAATCTTGGAAGGTTCTATTAATTCACTCTTTAAAATTTGAAGGTGACCATACACATTTATACTAAACCCAGCTTTTCAACAATTATTGTAATGATTGTTCTAGGTATTTTCACAGTGGGACTCTGCAAATGTGTTTTTAATTTTTTGACAGTAAGCACCATTTTTCAATCTGAGACCAAAACTAATTCCTGTATCTTTCCAATACATTTTCAGCAATTATTACTTATCACACAATTTATCTCAGCCAACACAGTAGCTATCCAGGCTATAAACCTGTAAATTAGTAATTATCTAAAAGCAACCAAGTAGTTTTTGATCCGCTTTAAATATTATGGACTCACAATATAATTAATAACATTTTGTCCCAGATTTTTCATGGGTTTTTGTTTATCCAAATCATTCATAAATTAATATGAATTAATAATCTTCTTTCCAGTCCTAGGAAAGAGCAAGTTTCTTGGTAAATTAGTCACAGAGCTATGTTCTCCGAGTTAACACTTGCAGTTTTACTGTAATGTTGTCACTATTGCTTAATAGGAATTCATGGTTAAGAAAAAATTATAAAGATAAAATCTGAATTTCAACACAGGTTGTTTATCACAGGCCATTTGCCTTCTCACACAAAGCCACATTATAATTACAGCACATTAATTGCTGTACAGCAGTATCAGTAGAGCTCTTTAAGTGACATGACACAGTCACATGACACAATGGCATTTGCCAAGATGAGAAGGTACTTTCAACAACCTGAATCAGTGTGATTCATGGCAGGAGCTGGGGGGAGGAAAGATTTTCTTGATCAAGTTTTCAAGCTACTCAGTAAAACTTAATGCATGTAAACCACACAAAAAACTGTTAAGAGGGAGAGTATTCACTCTTACTTCAGTGCCATGAAGAATTAAGGTGGTCTTCCCATCTGACCCTATGGAGAAGGGGACCAGCACCCTTCACAAGCCACATTCAAGAACTGAGGCCAATCCAGCTGCTCTGCACAAGACCAACATGGAGAAGCCTTGGTGGCAGCACTGAAAGCAACTCTGCAGCCCTCTCTGGCATCTGGCCTTGCTGACAGCAGTCAGTCACGCACAACATAACAAAGAATGCCAAGTAACAGCTCCCTGTTCAAATCCTCACTGCCACAGAAAAACACTGCAAAAGCCAGAAAAACCTCCAGCTCCTCCTTTACTCTATGAAAAGCTGACCTTCACACACCAGGTACCTGAACTTGCACACCTTTTAAGGCGGAGCAGATTCTCTTCTGTGCTGAAGACCACAGCAGCAAAGGTCACTGCTCCTGGTAATGCTCCATCCTAGAGAACATCACTTCAGCTTGGTTTCACATGAACACCATATTCAACTGCCTGCATTAACCTCCTACCCAGTTATAATTCAATTCCAGCCACCCCTTGTATTTACATTTCTGTTAATTACAATAAAAACAAATAAAAAAGGTTGCTTTGAAACCCATGCTGATTAACAGCAACACTTTGAAAACTTTAACAAACTATTTGTCCTGTAGTTTCAGACTATACATACAGCTAACAAAAAAAACCCACTGAAGAACTGTGGTCAAAACTAACCACACAATGTTAAAATGAATATTTAAATACTCTAATTAAAAAAAAAACCAAACAACAAAAAAACCCAAACCAACAACCAATCCCCAAGCTATAATAATTTAGGAAGTTTTTATTGTATTATAAGCTTAGGATCAAGTCTCAAAACAAATTTTAAAAAAGTCTAGACAGCTCCAAGCTGTAGAGACAGAAGCTGCTGCAATCAGCTGAGTAAGTCTGTGTGCTTCAGACCCCACGTTTCAAGGCAGTGAGAAAAAGCTCCATGCATTAACAATAACATCGACTCTTTGAGTTCTCCTTATTTTAGCCTTCTGTTTCTAAATAAGCCACACACTTCCCTTGCTTTTTAAGGAACGCACTTTCAGAACCTTATAGAAAACCCTTGTAAATCTCTCATTTATCCAGAGTAGCAAGTAGTTCGGCTGCTTCAAATAACACCGAAGGAAGATAGTATACAGAAGCCACTAGAACAAAGTTACTGAATACTGATACTTGAACATATTGCATTGCTCCCAGGTAACTCATACAAAAATCAACTCCCAGGGCACCCATGTCCTGCTGCTAACCTCCTTTTCAAAGCCCCTGTGCTTCCACTCCATTCATTTGCATCCTTCATTTCTGTCTCTTTAAACACTCAGCCCAATATTAGAAGCCATGTAATTTCTTCTGTTTCTTTAAGATAGTGAAAATCAAAGTAAATTGGAAAAGACATCTTCCTAATTCAAGCCATCAGAATTTGATGACTACACTAATTATTTTTTTTCACATTTAGTCTGAATAGAACTCTGATTATATTTTTTTTAAAAAAAAAACCTGAACCTACAGAGCAGTTATTTTGTGATCTCACTAAAAGGCTTTTAACCCTTTAATGTCCCTAACTGATTACAATTTGAATTGCTATATAACTGTATCTTTTATAATATTAATGAAAAAGTTGCAGTAAGGGATATGTATATAAAAATATAGAAGTTAAAAGTTAACAAGCTTTACCATGAAGCAATCATGCAATGTAGGACAATGTGTTTGCCCTCCATTGCAGTGTACAAGGTTCTGTGTGTGACCTACATCCCAGCTTTTCTCAGACAATTTACATACTACATTTACACCCCAAATCACCTCCTTGCTGAGATTTAGTTTTGTAACAGTTTAGTTAAATTTGGTCAGTCTCTTTTACAGACAGGACTTTGAGCCGCTTGCCAGCTTCTGCAGCCTGAGTTGGATCCAGCTGATCCAAACACCCTCTCTCACATGACTCAGGTCAAGTTTAGGTAACCAACCATCTGCTTAAACAAGTCAGCACCACACGGTGTGCAGCCTTAACTAAACAAGCTATTTCAGGCAAGATACACTGTGCTAAGAACCCCTTTTTGATTTCCCTTGATATGGACAGAAAACCCTCCCTGTAAGGAAGAGTGGGAGCTAGGAACAAGGCTGTCTGGATTGCCAGTCCATATCTGTCCCAAAAAATCCCTGTATGCATTAATTATCTGAAACATTAAACTCCTCACAAAGGCACAGAAAGGAAAAATAAAACTGATTTCTTTATTAATTTCTACTTATCATCTACTCCCAAGACCAAATTCAACCATAAAATATAGCAAAACTAATGTTAACAAACTTTAATCTATACAAGCAACAGATTTTTATTTCCTTTCCGATTAAAATATATTCATTATCCTTAATAGCACTCAGGTTAAATTAACAAGTTTAATTACAAAACAAAAAGCAACAGCAAGCAGTCTTCTGGGGTTTTTTTTAATGTGAGAATCAAATACACTGATCAAGGAACATCGGATTGCACTTTATTTTAAATATTCATACCACTACACAGCATAGATTTAAAAAAATAGAAAAGGTAGATAATACATTTCTGTGTATCCAAAACTTTTGTAACATGAAAAACAGTGTTCTCTATATTCTACATTCTAAACCTTAGTGTGTAGAACTCAAAAATATATACACAGAACATAGCAGCAACTCCACAAAATAAGGAAGTCACATAATTAAGCAGTGATCGTAAAACAGCTGTACCTAAATACAAAGCTGTGATACCTTAAAAATCAGAAATGAAGGATCAGTCCAGCAAAATATAGTTTAAGTATTTTAAGGTAGCATTCATTAGAATAGTTCTTAACTTTTAAATTTAAATGCTGCAAACTGACATAGACAAAATTGAAAGATTTCTAATTCATTGCCAGTGAATTTTAAAAAAGCATTTTCTAGGAGATAAAAATAGATGAAAATATACGATATGAAGCAGTGCAAAGTGTTAGCAGATAAATCAGTTAGGATGATACTGATAATGATGTTTAAAAAAAAAGAAGAAAAATGTCGAACTGAACATCTTTATGTGTAGGGGGCAAATTTAAAATGAGCCTCCACTCATGAAGGGCACAGGGTACATGTACTTCATTTCTCTTGAGTTATCTTTTAATCAATAAAATTAATGTACATTTTATATAAAGATGGATCTTTGTGAAAAACAGATTACTAAAACCAGTTTACTGAAGACAATTTATACATCTGAACCAGAAAAATAGATGGGGAGGCAGGAATTAAATTACAACAGACAAACCTACAAAGTAGCAGAAGTAACCATAAGGTTACAGGAGCAGGTTTATGTGTGTTGTCTGAACTATGTCACAACCAAAGTTACAGAAAAAAAGAGACTATTTTCAATCCTACATAATATTTTTAAAAAGCTAAAAAAAAAAAGCTCAGGTATAATATACATGTGTACAATTATATTTTGAATTAACTTATTTAAAAATTTTATATAGGAACAGGCTCTTTGTACAACTCTATTTGCACAAACTTCAGTCATGAAGAGTCCTACCAAAGTGAAGCAAAGGAATGATCACATAAATAAAGGTTAACATTACTTGGGCTTTCTCATAACAGGTCTATGAATTGAAGTTACAAAATATACATATTTGCCTTTCATACATATTGCGTTATACATACAAAAAATTTCATCTAAGGAAAATAATTTGTAAAGTGTTAAAATGTGTAGAGTTTAACAGCAGAAAAATCTAAATCCTGCCATATGGTTACATTCTGGAATTAACTACATTTTTTACATTACATTACACATTTTTAAAGTAATAAAACAGGAAACATTTGTGGCCATAATGCTGTGTACTTCATTAATACATAAAAATTTCCTGTATTTTCATAATATCCGTACGACATAGAGGGCATTCATTAAGTAATTGAGCACATTCCTTACAGGCAACTAGGTGACCACAGGGAATGAAGACAACTGACACGTCCTTAGCCATACAGATTTTACAGAGCTTTTCTTCCTGCAAACGTCTTAACTTCTCTTCAGTACTGAGGTCTAAGGAAAATAGACACATAAAAAGAAGTTAACATACTACCACTTAATCTCATTCTTTTTTTTTTCTCTCTTTATGCACAAGGACAAGGTTTCTTCATATCATTTAAAGGTCACACCCTTAAAAAGAACCAAGAAAAATTACAAGAGCGGGGAATCCTAGCTGCAGCATGGAATCCTCTTTTTTCATTTCCCCTTCTATCCCATTACATCTTCCAGGCCAATGCAAGCAGCGAGTGCATCTGTCTGTATTTGTAAAAACTTGAAATACCTATAGAATTTAGGATATCAGTATTTCAATCAGAAATCTTTCTTTTCACAGACCTGTCACTGACAAGTTCCCCAAAATTTGAGCAGAAGGTGAAAGAAAGGCTCATTGCTACTGATTAAGTACTTTGGGTTTTATTTCTTTTTCTGAATTTTCCCAGTGAGAAAAATAACGATGTGACTTCCTTCCCTGCCCCCGTTTTCAAAATGCCAATATTTCAAAAAGCTTAAAATCTGTAATGCAGAAGGAGTCAATTTGGCATTGTACATGAGCTCTTTATTATTCCAATATGCCCCATTTGAAAAAACAAAATTCACCTTCCCCTGCCACTTGGGGGAAGCTCTGCACAGCCAACCACCAAAATAAGGTCCAGCTGCATTGCAAGTTCTTCATCTCCCACAATGTCCTATTAAAAATCTCATTAAAAGGAGTGGGTTGGTAAGATCTCTGCTTATCATACCAACCAGATAGTCTTTGCCCTCCCTATAAATTCACCCATATGCTTGTCTTAAATTACATGTCTCCTGAATCAGAACTCCTGGGTTTGGTCTGTTTGCAGAGTGCACCACAAGGGCTTTCTGAGCATGACTTGCATGCCCCAGGAAAGATGGAACATAAATACTGAATAAAATCACCATTTAGATGCACACTTGTTCTCATTGGCCAAGAATGAAAATACTTCTACCCCAAGCAAAGTTATATACTGCAAAATAAATGCCCTCCCACTGTGACTTTTTTGTATTAAATACACCAAATATGACAATGTGTCCCTATGTCTATTTCATTTTGCCACATCTATAGTTCATCTTATAACTATATTCTTGTAGCTATTTTTGCTTTTATTTTTAAATATAATTGTCACAACGATTTTGGCTTTTTTTGTTAGCACATACAACCCTTCCCAGAAGCATACTAGACTGTCAGTATTACACACCTTTGAGATACCAATACTACTTATTTTAGAGATGATATTTATAAATGCTGCTACACTCCAAGTATTTTAACACCCTGTTTGCTAAGGGTTTTTTTTTTAATGTCCCAAACCAAATATCTTCAATTTTAATTCACAATACTGTCATAGGTAAGACTGGGATCAGAGGGAAGAATAAACAGATAACATTAAAAAATATTTCACAGACTAAAGAACTGATACGAAAGTACACACAGAGGTTTTGTAACTGAATAAGCTCATCTTGCTCAACTGGGATTTCATTTGGTTCTTCTTCCCTTGTATTTTCTTTATAAGCACTTAAGTCTGCTACCAGATCCTCAACAGATGTGTGACTTTCTCCAGTCATCTGCAATCTCTTTTCCATGGTGTTCCTAATCTCAGACAAACTGAAACCCATGGCTATGGCACTTTGTACCAAAGGATTCTGTAAGAGATCATCTAAAACAAAAAATTAAAAACAAAACAAAAACACTGTAAGAAGTATGAATCTGATTATCTGACAATTTTGACTGCAGTACTCTAAGACACATATTTGCAAACAAATACGTAGCCAAAGGAACCACATTTTCAATTTGAGAATTTTGCTAATTGTAAAGACTGCAGATTTGAGTTTTCTTCTATCCTATCTTTCCCAGTCTCCCCTCATCTATTTCTATTATAGAAACCCTCCTGGATTTGCTGTTCAAATCAACTACTTCAAATTAAATAAAGTGCCCTATATAATTATCATCACAAATTTTGTAGCTGAATGTTAAATGAAATTCATCCAAAGTTACAAGTCACAATGGATAAGTATCATTATATCAATTTTAATTCAGTTCAGGGAAGAAAAAAACCTCATACATATGTTGAGAGAAACTAATTAATAATTTGAATTTATAAAACCAAAACACAGCACCACCACCAACATGCAGGTCTATCCATGGTAAGATACAACACTACTTGGGGAAACCATTATTTAGTCTGTTGGACCCTCCCCCTCCTTTTACTTATCAACATTGTTGATAACAATATGAACAGCAATATTTTAAAATTTTTAATAACTAAGACTTTTTTTTTTTTTTCAAGTTCTTTTATTTTCACTTTCATCGATGAGCAGTATGGGAGACATTTCTAAGCAGGTTTTGTGTAGCCACTCTTACCAGCAATATCTCCCATTCCCTGGTGTCTTAGGTTGCAATGCAAGATGTAACCAAATGTGTTCTATTATCATCTGCTAAAAACCAGGTGTAGCAGTGTTCTTTACCTCTTCCACCCATCCTCCCTCCAGAGAGATATCTTCTGTTAATGGCCATTGAGTCTCACTGCACAACTGATAAAATGATATCATCCCATTGGGAGATGCTCCACCCAGGGGGAGGAGCCAAGCATTCCTACCTGGATATAATCTGAGCCTTGGAACACCACTGGCAGCCTTTCTCCACTGGATTCCCAGAGGGAACAGGACCCATCTACACCACTGGACCTTCAGAGGAAAACTGCACCCTTCTACAGGATCATTGCTTCAACAGAACCACATCTGTCACCCCAGGAGGTCTGCAGCCACCATTTAATCAGACTGCTACCAACACCCTGCCCAACAGGGTGTCAGTTGTATTCTGACTCTGTTAGTCATTTTTTGTGTACTACTGTATTTTTATTTTAATTTTCCTAATAAAGAACTGTTATTCCTATTCCCATATCTTTGCCTGAGAACCCCTTGATTTAAAAATTATAATAATTTGGAGGGGGGGGTGTTACATTTTCTCCATTTCAAGGGAGGCTTCTGCCTTCCTTAACAGACACCTGTCTTCTCAAAGACACCAGGGATGAAGCTGCTTGACTAGCCTCCAACTACCCCTTTAACTGTTTTGTTTTTTTATTGCTTGGTATTTGTGGAAAGCATTGCAGGAAGGCATAATAATAACACATAATAGACTACTTGCTCAACTTCCTAGTTCTTGCCATTGGACAGACCAACTCTTCCTGACCCACAAGAAAGGGCTGTTTCTGTTCAGTATTCTTTAACATTCATCCCACAGCACTACTGATTCAATACTTGATGCACACTCACTAGCTAGAAGACTGCATCCTATACAAACTTTTTCCATGGTTCACAACTATTACATTATTTACCAAATTATAATTATATTTCCTCTAAGATAAATAAAATACATTCTGAAGTTCTTTAGAAGCAATGAAGCAAGGGAAGAGTATCATCCAACAATTTTCCTGTTGTGGTTCATTTTAAAATGTAATAAGGTTATTTTTAAAATTAACCATTCTTGTCACTATACATTCAAATATGGATATTCCAAAATGGGGGGAAGTGTTAGTTCTAAACAGGTACCTTTAGGAAGTATTATCCCTTCAGCAGCTTCTGTCTAAAAGTGAAATATAAAGAAACAAAATTACAATTCTGGAGAAAGTAGATGGAAATACATACAGTTACAAAATAAAAACATAGCTATTTGATCGCAAGTTATTTTAGTGACTATAACTATTTAATCTGTCTGAACAAAAGAATCAGTATTTTGTTCTAATTTTAACCCATCTCTGTAATAATCCTGTGCTCATGATTCTTAGTCTACAAAAGAATTCTAAAACATTATCAGTTTTACATTTTAGTGACTACATACAAATTTAACAATGCTCTACCATCAAGAAAAGAAAATGTGGCTGCTATTATTCATCATAAACCTAAGGTTCCCAGACTATAAAACAAATGGCACTTGTTCAGTATCCAATACACGTTCACAAGGTGCCCTGGCTGTGATCCATAACCCAGCTATGGAGCACTGGAAGATGGGTACACCCTGATTGACAGAACCAAAACATACCGCAATTATTTCACTTTCTGCCAATGAAAGTAACACCAGGTAGATTAAATGATAGGCACATAATTAAAAGGTAGCTTCATATAAAAATTACATTGATTTTTTCTATTTCACCAAAATTATTAATAAGTAAGAAACTTACTGTTGAATCTCTACATCCATCTCTTAAGTGAACATTATTTATAAATTCTATCCCCTTTTCCTTGCTCACAAATCTGCACCTAAAAATAAGAATATTTAGATTTAACAAAACTGCGTTAGCTACAAAAATTCATTACATAACTATGGAGGCTTTGATAAATTTCCTACATTATACAGACTGCCTCTTTTTAAAAATCTCTAAATATTTAGTCAACATTTGTGATGTCACCGTAATATTTCTAAGAACATCTTAAACAATTAAGCAGTATTAATTAATTAAGCAGTATATATTTCTTATATTTTTGGTAAAAAAGAAAGCTTAAGAGTTGGCCATGACAGATCATGACACACATTTCTAAAAGTAAAGGCTCACTCAAATGTAAAACAAACATTATGTTAAAATGCTTGTTCTTTTAGTCTTTCACAATCAAAGCAACCAGTCACTGGTCAGACAGGTGCTTTCCATGCTTTCTTTCATTATTTTTCAGTCAGTCTTAGCCACTGGGCAGAGCTCTTCCCTACCAGAAGATTTAGGGAATGCCATAACTCCTTAACAGGAATTCTCCAGCTCCAGCAGTTACTTCACCTTCAGGAACAGACAGCTGCTGTGAGACTGATACACTGCCACTGAGGCTGATGTGCAAACAAAACCCCCAAAAAAGACTATGATCTGAGAGGAAGTAATCAAACCTGAGATAATTTAATTAACCTAAACCAAAATCAAACCCATAAAAGAGAAGTGAAATGTAGCAAGGAAACATTCCTAAACTATTCACTGCACCACACTAAAAACTTGGAATCATATCTCTTTCAAGTGGCAGAGACTAGTAATTAAAAACTGCCTGTACCACTATTAAAAAAGGGAACTTCTAATGCATAATTACCAGTCCCTAACTTCCAGAGAGCTTTTCACCACAGGAGAGAAATTTGGGAGTCCATGCATAAAAGACACTGATTATATCAATATTATACAAGTAACTAAGTCTTTGTATTTGGATAGCTTCTGTCCACCTGTGGGAACTACTGAGTCATACTATTCTTCCTTTCCTCAACACAGATTTTAGACAACATTGGCAATCTTTCTAAAAACTACATCTTGTATTTCTACTATTGCTTGGAATCCTTTCAAATTAGAGAGAACTATCTTTTACATTCCATGCCACTACTGACTCCTTTGGGTTTGTTTGTTTGCTCTATGGCAGCTGTTTTCTCATTTTGTATCTTAGTATGTTACAAACTTTTACATGTACCAGGCTAGTAAAACAATCATTACAATGTAGCACTTGGACAACCAGAAAAACCTTCAGATATATATTGACAAAACTGCACAATTATTCTCGCTGAGAAAGCAAGCGGCAGTTAAATCCAGACAGATACCTTCCCTTTAATAAAACTATAAATAAGACAACATAAAATTATTTGCATAAATCTTAACAGTGTTAAGCCATAATCAACCTTCTCAAGCCTTTATTAGTATGCTCTGTCATTAAAATGCAATGTACCGTAATTAAGACTCACACACACACCAAGAAAACACTGAGATACCTTACCCAGGAAACCATTTGGCATGTTGATCCCAAGGGTCTTCATTTTCCTTCCATTCTTGCAATCCTCCACCACAGTGGAAACACACAACATGATCACCATTACCTGAGCAAACACACAGGAATAAGTTACATACTTTGTGTAGGTAAAATACCAAGCTTTCAACTAAAATGTAACATTAAGGTGAGAAATATTTATTTTACTGATTTACAATTTCAACTGAAAATAAATTCATTTTAACAGAGGACAACACACATGGTTTGAAACAAATATTCAGGGGAGAATTGAGCTTAAAAAAACACAAAGTAAGAGAAGCAAGTTTCCTGAATTTTATTTTAGTAAGTAATTATACAGACAAAAAACAGAAGCTGAATATACTCTATTATCATGGAGCTCAATCCAACGGTAAACAAGGCCTAAAGATGTTGCCACAAAGAACAAGAGATGTTTACATGGGTCTGTGGTCCTCCATTTCCCATTAAGATCAACAGGCCCTAACTAGAAATAGCAAAACCAGCGGAGGAAAACTGCATCCTCTCTGTTCCAGCACTGTACCTACTGCGATCCAGGACTGCACCAGAAACTGTTTAAGTATTATTTTTAGTAGAATGAGAGGAGGTATGGATAGTGTTTGCCTAGAGAGTTAAATTCTTCTCAGGCTACAGGGAACAGTTTTCACAGACATCACCTGAAGAGCCCTTGGTTTGATAAGCTGGTGCCAAGTTAGTGCAACTCCACCATACAGATCTTTGGACACTTTTATGAATCCCAGAAGAAATCAATAAAATAGTTTGAGTAGGTACAAATATTGTCCATTTATAATCCATACAGGAATATAGCAAAGATTTTATTTATGGCCACAAGTAAAATAAACAGAATCCTACTATAAAATTTTGAGACCTACTGAGAGAGAAGTAAGATGAGAGCAAGAAATTATACCAGATAATCCCCTTTTCCTTGTGACCAAGTAAGAGCAACACTTTGCACTTGTACAGTATCTCTCAGTGAGGAGTTTTAAATGGTACTGTGCAATTCCATCTAATTGAGAATGCACAGAGATGGTGTCTTAGCCAAATCAAACACTACATGTCTAAGAGTAAATGCTCTTCCACTGGTACCACTGTCTTCATAAACTAGGCAGTAGTGGTATTTGGTGGTTTTGGGTGTCCACATGCCATAATAATGCAAACACATGTTAACTAAGTACAATGGCACACAACCTGGATTGTCTTGTTCACAAGCTTTTGTACAGGCCACAGGCTCATTCCTTACATCTAAGGTCTGGAGGACAGCACTTCGTTTCTTAAAAAATATTAACTCAAATAATTGTCATTGTGTGAGATGTACTGTAAAGGTTTTAGCAGTCAAAATAAATACTTAGCTGTTTTACTGCTAATAAATTTATGATCAAGTCTATGTTTTGCTAGTAAACATACATGATACAATGCATTCAATTTTACATAAAATCTGTGTAAAATTTACAGAATAAAGAGATTCTGTCAAATTGTTACATATAAAAATTTTAAAAATTGTGGATTTCTTTCACAACAAGATACTTCCTCATGTACAATTTCCTCATAAAAGGTATTAAGTCATTTCAAGGTCTGGCTTACCTATGCTATAGAATCCAGCTTCTGCAAGTTGCTCCTTGTCAACAGGATATATCCAAGATAAAAATGTTTGTAAGCGTTTTCCATATTTTGCCATAGAGGGATTCCTTGGGTGCTGTGCATTGTTCAGACCACTTATGCCATGCTCAGCAGGAATAGATTCACTTGAAATATTTCCAACATCCCGGCCCAGGACAAAAAGGCATTTGGGAAAATGCCTCCTGTGTTCTGACCAAGCTCTGTCAGTGGGTTCCCAGTTCTTCAATTTTCCACCACAACAAAAACATGCCACCTGGTCACCAACACCTGTATAATAAAATCCAGCGTTAGCTAATTCCTGCGGAGTCAACTGGCCACTGAGCGGCCAGTTGTGGAAAGACTTTAACCTTGTTTCTTCACTGCACATAGCAGGGTTTTTAGGATACAAACTATCTGATATATCCACAACCTGCCTAGTTCTCAAAAGGTAATCTGCCTCCACATGAGGGTCATCCAGAGAACATGGGAGGGCTGAATTGCCGGAACCATTTTCAGTTCTGCTCTGGGAGTTCTGGGCAACAGGATCCATGTTAGTTTCCAGAAAAGCAGATTCAGTAATAAACTTGCATTTGGGGGCAAGCTCTTTGTGCCTCTCAGCTGCAGAATCCCCAGGCAGCCATCCTTCAATAGTTGTATGGCAACTGAAGCACTTCACTTTGTCACCTTCTCCAGTATAAACAAAGCCAGCTTGTGCTAGAGCTAACACCGAAACAGGACAGTCCTGTGGAAATCCAACAAAAGTTCCCTGTCGGTCATGTTCCTGTGCCCATTCCTGGGCACTGTCAGTGTGTGCAGAGGCACAAGCTTCTGAGTTCTGTGGGACATTACACGTCATCTCTTCATAAGCACGGTTCTCCTTTAGATTTCCTAAACAAAGAATACAGATTTTCATTTCCCAGACAGAAGGATAGATCAAAACCATTCACAACCCTGGAAGCTGGCTAAATTCAGCTACCATCCTTTATATATTAAAATAACAACTCTTCCTCTTCTCCCTCATTGCACCCTTGCCCGTATTACCTGCCACACAGAGGCAAACACCAAGGTACTAAAACCAAAATAATAAAAAATTTGTGAAGAAAAGCAGAAAAATCAAGATGTCTTAGAGGCCTATAAACATTTACCTGGAGAACACACAGGTTTACAGCTTTAAAAGTATGTTATATTTCTTAATAAAGATTGCAAGAATGAAATCAACAAAATACTTTATTAAAGTTCTGTCCAAAACCCTGCCAAAAGGCTTCTGAACCCAAAATACAAAGTTACTAAATTTAAAATACTGATCTGAACCAGACCATAGTTGCAAGATTTTAGAGGTCAATTCTCAAACACAACTATATATTATCCTCATATGAAGGCCATGACCCCCATGCCCATTACAGGTGGGCAGCAACTGCTAAAACCATCATCAAAAAGAAAAGTTTTTTTTCTTGTGTTATATTGTAAAGACATGCTTCAATTTGTATTTTAGCAAAATATCTTGTGAAATAAACTATCAGATATTTCACTGGGTCATTTTACCAAAGTGCTGGGCATTGCTTTTAAGATCAGTGTGTTGGGACTGCCCAGCACTAGTGTTTATGTCCAGCATATGCTTCCACTTTTCCACACCCTGCCTACACCCTCTACAAAAATTCCTGTGCCTCTGCCACCACCCCAGCTTTTCCTCCCTTCCCTCCATGAAGGAATGCCATTCTTCTTAGCACTTGTCACACATTCCTACCCCTGCCTACACTTTTCCAGGGTGAGTACCAACTACCAGTTCTGCCTCGTGTCCCTTCTGTGCCAGAAAGCTGCTAAGAGCACTCAAAGAAGCCCCTTCTTTGCTGAGGGTGAAACAAAGCAACTTGGCTGCAGCAGGTCCTGTACAAGAATCACAAATTGACAGAGCCATCACCTTCATCCCAACATGGATGAAATCAAAGCACAGTACACATTCAGCTCTGTCCAGACAAGTGCAGTGATACTATTCACTTAAAAAGTCTTGGCTACTCCTGTTACACATCTTAGAGGTAAATTAAATTATAATGAGATTGCCCAAATAAACTTCTTAGCATAAAGCAGTAATAGTTCAGCAATGAGCAAAAGGAAAGGCATGTAAGGAAGAACAGAGTATGTATTTAACTGAACAAGTGTTCTTCTCCATTTTCTATAGGAATCCTGGAATATATCTATTTCCAGTCTATATAAGGTAGGCCAGCACACAAAAATATAGCTTCTTCAGAACCTGCATTAATATTGATTATACATTCTGTAACGTCAATGCAGATGTTACAATGATTACTTCTATAACATCAGATTTAGCTTCTACAAAATCTTTTTTAGGGTCCAGAAAGGGGAGGGGGAAGTTAAAATGCCTATGTATTGCAGGACTGCTGCATCCTCTGCCAAGATGACACAGATAATTAAGCAGGTGGAGAAAACATGACATCAGTCACCTGGTACGGGTGCTTCATGTAATCATGGATACAAGACCTCTGAGCACCAGCTTTTCTTCCGTCTGTCCGTCAGTTCATGACTAATGTAATAACACTAGAAATTATACTGTGGCTTTCTGTTTCAGCTTAGCAAACTCAGAAATAGCATCTGAATAAATTGCATTGACTGACCTACAAATCTGACCTATATGCTTGTTTTGACTCTGAAGGGCAAAAAACCCAAACCAGTAATTACATTTAGTAATATGAAAGCTGTCACAGAACACGTATTCTTTATATACATACATATATTTAAAACAATTATTTTTTATAATGAAATCTTAAAAGCTTTCATGTTTATTGTTCATGTTGATTTCTTTATAAAACCTTACTTTTAAGCCTCTAGAACTGTTCCTGCAAAGATCTCAAGTGACCTTAAGCATCTACCACTACTACATTTGACATAATTGGTATTACTCAAAACCACTTAGCTGCATAGTAATTTTCTTATCTCCATGCCTGAAAGACTTCCTGCAAGAACACAAACAAAACCTACCTCACATCCTTCAGAGACTCCTTCTCAAACTGTCCACTGAAAAACGCCAAACAAACGTTCATGAGTTTTGCTGTATGAATAGCAGTATACCTCTATTTCTATTGTATCTATATAGAAATTATTTCAGAAACAGTGAAAAAAATCTTCCTTTTAAATTTTTTATATTTTAATTTTTTATGTACATTTGTTTGTTCTACAATGCTATGATAGTTCAAAAAATCCTTCTGTTAACATTGTGAACAAAATAGAAATTATGCCCTCCCCATGGTGATAATGAAAATATTTGCCACATTTGGATTCTCTGGAGACAGTCCTCAAAATCAAAACAGTATGAAAAGCATATACCAGGAAAGTAGTAAGTACTGACACAGAAGGTACAATCACAACAGATCAATTCTTTAATATGAACTAGCTTTTTCTAATTGTATCAACCACATAATTTAATCATGGTCACTTGGAGAAGAAAGGTTCAACTATCATTCTAAAAGCCTCTCAAAGCAATGTCTAACAACTGCAACAACAGAAGCAGGACCAGTCCCTCCCAGGTACAAGGCAAGGTTTAACAATATTCCAGCCACACTATGAAGCCCTTCCCTTAAAACAGTCCCTCAAAACATGGCTGGTTTACATTTCACTACAATTTTATCTATGAGAAACATCTTTATCAAACATTGAGGCAAACTCCTTGCCTGTGTAAAGTACTGTTTTATATACAACATTAGTACTGCTTTAAATAAAGTATCATGTTAATTATTTCTATTTCAAACAACTGTTAAAAGCAACTATTCAAAGTGTAAAATTACAGCTAGGTTAGGCAGAGCATTTCTGCACAGGTTTCTTAGCAGTTGCCTAACTCCAGTTAGTTGGAATAACGATTTAGAACACTATCTGGCATCATAACAGCACTCAGACAGCTATTAACTGCAGCAGAAAAATGAGTGAGGGTTAATTTTTGAATAGCTTACAGCTAAGAAACATAAATTCACAAAAATCTGCTACCTAAGATGGGCACACAAGACTTTGCAATATATACCAGTAGCCAACTGGAGGTCAGTATATACTCTATAATGAAATTAAGGCATTTTGCATAGGTTTTAATTAACCACATGTGAATTAAAGGTAGAAGGTCCAGAAATATTAAAGATCATCTTCACTTCTAAAACCCAGATATCTTAACTATTATTGAAGCATTATATATCTTTTTATACAGTGAGTAAACAATGTCTATTTTAGCCTAAAAGGCTTCTTCCAGAAGCTGAGCCAAGCCTAATCCCGGTTTTAAACATCAGAAGGCTATTTGCCACAAGAAACCCCCCTCCTTCAACCTGAATTACCAATTTATATAGCCTATTGATTATGTTTCAGAAGAAAAAGTAGAGACAAAAATATATAGCAAAAATGTTAACTTATTCAAAATGCAAAATTGTACACTGTAGATCTGCAAAACAAACATGTTTAATTCAGCTTTTAAAACATTAACAAGTATTGATTTTATGCAAAAATACATGATCCCATTACCTGGAGCTGAAAAGTATCAAAGGAAAAGTACAAAACTCACTTTTCCCTTTCAAGTATATTTTACTAGATATGATTATTTCCATCCTTAACCCCAAACTCAATTGGCACTATAAGGAGTAATTTTTAATTTTTTTTACATGACTAGCATGGCAGCAACCTCCAAATCAGAAAACTACGTGCACAATCCCATGTTCCTGACCACAGGGTACATGTTAGTGTTTATTGTTGACTGAATTTTGAAATGTGAGTACTGCACCAAGTAAATATCAAACAGAACATACTGTACCAGCTGACACACAGATTATGCATATGTCACTTCAATGAACTTCAGTTGCTGCCTGCTCAGCTACAATTACATCAAGAAAGGTGCATGCTGCTGACTAAAAACGTACTTATAAAGATTAAAATGACCACAAACGTGATATATTTAAACAGTGGTTGCAAATTTCAGCATATATCTACTTATCAATAGCCATTTAAAAAAAAAAAAAAAAAAGTTCTGTTCAGATATTTTTGATTTATTTTAGAAACAGGGTTTGTACAGAATGCCTCCTGATTCAGTGCCAAAGCTTACATAACCCTATCAGCTCAGCTTTATTTGTCTGTTCTTCTAACAGGTCCTACTTAGCCTCCCCTCAGGGTTTGTCATCACAGGAAGTCAGTCAGCTGCTCACAGTTATAGTAGGCTATTACACCCTCCTGATTTTTGACTTAAGTCACAAAGACTTTTATGCTCTCCCTGTCTAAAAAATGTACATAACCAGGCCAACAGAAACATACCATTTTGAGAACTATTTTCACACAGCATTTTTCTTCATGAAAAAGTCATATGGGTATGGAATACAGAAACAAAAAAAGATGGATTCATGGCTGCTAAGGGAGAGAAAAAATCCTTTTTGAGAACTTTCAAGTTAAATGTCATCAGAACTTTAGCCATATGTATCAGAAGGAAGGAGTAAATACCAGCTTCTATAAGAAGAACTGGCCTGCTGTATCCCAACTAAAATGCTGCTCCTGTGGCTAAGAAACAGAAAAAAATTACTGAGTCAACAGGGGTTATTAAAAAGAACAGCCAGTACTAAAAAAGCCTATTAAAATCTGCAGTGCCCTGAGATGATCTTTCCTGAGTATGAGCTGTGCTTCAGCTTTTAGGGCTACATTCTTCTTTCAAAAATAATTGAAACTTTTAGTGGAAGAAAAATATGGAAAAAGAGGGTGTTTTTCATCAGGGAGATATTATGATAAGAAACTTCAGCTACAGCAACATGATTCATGCCACAGCAAAACTGCTGAATCTTCTGGATTCCAAGGCAAAGTTGGAGAAGCACTGGACCGGCACCTCCTGCCTCACCCACTGTCAAGGGCATTCCCTGCCCTGCCAGTGCTCCTGCCCACAGCAGCCACGCTGAACTCAACACTCACAGTCACTCAGTGGCATCCTGAGAGAGAATGGCATCCTAATACTTTATGGTGTCACATGAATGTTTCACTATTAAAGAATAGGAAGAATCTGCATATATACATATCTATATATAAGGCATGTGCATTTATACACATACATCCCTCATCATCTTGTAAACTTGGAAATTTCTCCTGGATTATCCTTGATATTTTATTTTTAACTTTGTCAGGAATTGGGGATGACTTGGGAGCTAATTTTAATATTTTACCAAAAACAAAATATGAAAGTTGTTCCTGTTGAAAATACATTCTTGCCTTTCTATTTAATAAGAAACTCTCCAAATCATTAAAGGGGAAGGACAATGATCTGCAAGACATAAGCAGCTTCATTTTACATTTTATATGACAGGCAATTCAAGTTTTGCAGCATGCCTTCTCCATCTCAACAGCCTTTCGGTCTTCACACACAGCTACACTTTTAATATTTAAAGATCTTGTGGTTTCTCAAGCCTGACTTTAAATGGTTATGCTCAGAATATTTTGGATTAGAACTCTGTAAAAAAGATCCATGCTATGAAATAGAAAAAGCAGCAAAGGACTGTACACTCTTAAACAAAACAATACAAAAGGTACTTACAACAATTGTCCCTAAGACATTAGTATCCAATCAGACCAAGTAGAGCAATGGATTAATCTAAGCAGACACTGGTTTTATTGCTATTTTCCACCAATCTTTAGAATAAATTAAAATTTTACATCCCTGTCAGTAGGAAAAAAAAAAAAAGGTTAAAAGCTTTTTTCACATAACCTTCAGCATTGTTTATGAAGCCACAACTTCAAAGCTATGATCAAAAAAAAAAAAATTTTAAAATTCTCTCCCTTGGCCAAGAAATCCAAGTTAAAATATAACCTAAAGCTGAAGGAGTCTGAGGTCAGGGAAAGTCTGAAATGTAGATGCTTTACTAAAACTAGCAAGGGATATAAATTGGGGATACTCCAGAACATCCAAACACAACAAAACAAAATCGTACAATTAAAAACTATAGGGCAGAAAAAAGAAGAAAGAACATAAAGTAGACAGATTTAAATCCCACAACACTTCCCCCGCCTGGGAAATTCTGTATCTGATTACAAATTGGATTTCTGGAACTCTTCAGCTCCCTGCAGCTGTACCACCCACCTTGGGAGGACAGCAACAGCTAGAAGTTCTAACACAGGTAAATATGGCCTGAAATGAAATCCATTTTCACACTTCTAAAATTGAAATATGAACACATATTTCCTTACTTTTCCGGTAGCAAATGCAAGTCTGCCTCATATCAGCGGAAGAAGTAAAAAAAATGCACAACCAACCATCCTCATCAGCATTCTTTCACTTTTGCTGCTGATTGCAAAGGGCAAGGTCAGGGGAGGTGCAGATCATACACTTATTCCTTTGCCCTTCTTGGCCACTGTTGTAGGTGCCAAGCTTTTCATGAAAGGAAGTAGTTGGGGATTCTTTAAAGGACCTCAAAGAAAACTGCAAACCAATCAAGTAGATAGCAAAAGGAAGCAATTAAGAAAATTAAAAATATCCAGATAAAAGCTTAACCAACCAATCCATCACACAAAGACTTGCTTTCTTAGAGACAATACTTACGCTGTTGGCTTCTCTGTTATGTGGTGATTGACTTCAGGATAAACAATGAGTAGTTAAGTTAATCTACGTCCAGGTATTAGGTTTAAAAAAAGGTATTTGACAAAAAGGTAAAAGAGGGTTTTTTCATGCAGTGGGTTGCTTTTCCCTCAAAATTGGTCTACTGTAAGATCTTGTAGTTTCTACATGTTCATTTAGGAAAATAAATTCTCCCAATTAGCTACATGAAGTATTGGCATTAAAATTGCAATGTAAGACTGTAGCAGTGAAGGGATAATGAAAGTAGTGCTGCAAACCCGTTTGCATTTTGCAACAGATGCAGATGAAAAACAGTGCAAAAATTACCGAAACCAAAATGTGTACTTACACCCATTTAGAGGGCTTTCAGCAGAAGCATCACACAAGTAAGTAAAGAAGCAGAAATACACTCGCTGTTAATGAGAAATATATAAGAATACGATCATAGACATTGTGCAAAGAGAACTGCTTGAACTTAAATTACCGCTGAAAGAAATTACTTTGAGCGAAGTTCTCCCTATAGAATTCTTAATAACTACTGTAATCGAACAAATCTGCATTTTTATTAACAATAAGCAGTTCTAGAAAGTGATAGGTCTAATAAAAATAAAAAAAATAATAATAAAGGAGTGCGCAAGGAGAGACAATACTCAAATATGCCAAAAGAACTACAGAGACCACAGAAGCGCTTATTAGCATAGACAATTTTTCATCCACTTTTGCAAAAAGCAGCATTGAAGGTTCGAGCCGGGGCACGGTTCGGGACAGGGTCTGGGCTCCGCCCGGGCAGCCCCGGCCCGGCCCGGCCGTTCCCGCAGGGGCGGCGCGCCCGTCCCCATGGCAACGCCTCACCGGCCGGGACCTCCTGCCGCCTCCGTCAGCGACCGGGGCCAGCGGCGGCCGCACCGGCCCCCGACATGCCCGGCACAGCCGTGATAGCGGGGGCAGAGCTGAGGGGCCGAGCCCCTCCGCTCCACGCGGAGAGCCGAGCCGAGCCGCCTGGACCAATCCGGACCACCTCCGGGTCCCGCCGCCGCCCCGGTCCCGCCGCTGCCGCGGGCACTCACCGGGCGCATCCCGTCCCATCCGGTCTCCGACGAGGGAGCCGCTCTCGGCAGCGCTGTCCGAGAAGATGGCAGCTCCCGGCAGCCTCAGCGCCACTCGGAAAGGAGCAGCGTCCCCTGGCGGCGCGGTGGGGACACGGCGGGCGGGCTCCCGCCGGCGGAAGGCGGCGCGTGGCGGCAGCGGGCGAGAAATGCAGAGCGGCCCCTCGGTCCCGCTTCTCGTTCCCTTCGTCCCCCTCTGCCCCTTCGGTCCCCACAGCTCCGCTTTTCATCCCCCTCAGCCCCGCTTCTCGTTCCACTAATTCTCCTCTGTTCCCTCGGTCCCCACAGCCCCGCTTCTCTTGCCCCTCAGCCAGCTCAGCCGCCACAGCTCCCTCAGTTTCCTTGGCCCCCTCGGCCCCACTCCTCTATTTCTCCGTCCGTTTAGTGCCTCAGGTCCCGCCGCTCCCGGCTCCGCGCCGGCCTCGCCTCTCTTCCCTCAGCACCTCCAACAGCCCCTTCATGTCACACCACCTTCTCCAGGCGGTTTCATGTCTGGAAAATGCGCATTCCAATGCACTCCCTGCTCTCACCTCTTGTCCCCGCAGAGTTGCAGCTTGCAAACCATAATTTGTTTGGGACTTGAATTTTCCAAATCAGACAGGCTATTTTCTTTGGTAGTTGTAGCCAAAAATCATCATTCTCATGGCTAAGATTAAGATGGTCCTGAACATTAAAATATTCCTTTAACTTTTTTCTCTTTTCTAAAATCTCAGGTGACCTCATTGTTGACCCAGCACATTTAACGTAGCCAGAGTGCTTGGTTGCCTGTCAGGGACCTGCTTCCTGCTATACTCAGGAAAACCCAGCTACTTGGAATAATGTTTTCAAACTTTTTTGGTTTTCCCCTTGTGCATGTCAACAACAGCGACTAACTTTTTTCAGACCACGTATCTCCAAAGACTTGCGGCAGATAGTGTGGACAATTTCAGGAGCAGCGTAATTATACAATGCCTTAGAATATTTGCAGATTCCAGGGCTTACACTGAAAGCCCTTTTGAGTAAGGATTGCTTCTCACTTTGGTTTCCAGCACCTACAAAGACCCCAGTTTGATTCAAAGCTTCTAGTTATTACAAGTAGCTATAGTATACCGTAAGTAATGAAATAGTAACAAACTCACTTTGGTTGATTAGAAAAAAAACATATAAAGGTTATTCAGTAATCATCAACAATACTCAATAACTTAGGATGCAATTCCACATACTACTTGCTCTTCATTCAGAAAATAATGACCTGAAATCTATAACATAATATTTAGTGATGCAGCACAATAGTGATGCTGAGCCTTTAAGAAATAAACAGTTCTATTGCAGTACTGAGTCACATCCATCTAAACTTATTCTACATCAGTCCAAAGCCAAGATCATTTATTTAAGAATCTTTGGCACAATAAGAGATTTGCACCTTAACTCTGCAATGTGAACATGAATATTTAACCTTCTAAGTCCTTGTCATACCACATTATTAATACATTCATTAGCAGTGATTTTCACAAAGGCCCTTGCTCTGCTGAGGTTTGATACTGCTCCAAATGAAGCAGATTGTTTTCAGAGGTCACAAAGTGGTTTTGCAAAGACCCACCTTCAGGTTTAGATGTCTAAATCAAGAACTATGGTAAAAGCTTAAATCGAAAAGTTCTCACCCCTGCAGAAGGTTGGATTAGATTGCCTCCCAATGTCACCATGGCAGCTAGCTTATAGCTGCCAAATAAATTTAGCCATATCAGACCCCAAAACTCAACCAGCCTAGAAGTAGAACAAGTCCCCGGATCAGTTACAGGGGACCCTCAGCCATTCCTATTTGTGATAAATATAACATTGGATAAAAATTCGTGAAAGAGAATAAAGAATTATATGTTATATTTGTAATACTGTAAAGATGCAAAATGTAAAATAATCCAGAGATACCTTCCCAAGTCGGGCAGTAACGACCGGCAGCAACGCTTATCAACACAAAATAAAAAGCAGGACACAAGCAATCAAACCAGACAATGAGAGTGGCTCCATCGAGATATCCATCTCCTCCGCACCCAAACTGGCCACTCCATTCCGGGAAATGCAGTCGGAGGACACTCAGAGCCTCTCACATGTGAAAGGACTCTGCTCCACCGACCATTGACTCAGCTCAACGGATCCGGGAAGTCTATTCAAACTCTCTTGTTGGGCGGTGCTTACTCCGGATTTTGCCCCAGGATACGAAAACCCCTATAAGAACCCCAGACTGCAGTACCTACTTCGTGGATTTGGGTAAATCTGTATCTCTGGGTATAGACCCCTGTCCACCCAGCGCTGCGCTGATTTATTTTATTGTGCTTTTTTTTTTTCTCTCGTTGTTTGTGATTGAAATTGTTTTATAATAAATCGCTTTTTATATTAACCCTATTTTGCCATTGCATTTATAACAGATTTGAGTTCATATCCAAGCACATCACTGGTCAAAGAGCTGGGCAGTGCTAAAGCCTTGACCAATAAGTGATCTAGACCTGGGAGCTTTGAACCGACTGTGTAAGTAGGTTCCAAAGAATAAAACAGGCTGTTTGTCTGATGATCAAGAGAGCACTTGAGTCATGATTTCTGTCTCCCAACCCACGACCCACATGTAACATCCCAGAAACCTTTCCATCAAAAACTATGAGATAAAATAAAACTGAAAAAATCAGATCATACCAAAAGTACAGTCTCTTTGAAATTTTCTTTACACAATCGTGTTAAAAATTTTGGTCAGTTACAACCTGTTTGAGTCAGACAAACATAAACTGGACTTAGTACACAGTTCTTTGACACAAACTGTTTAGTCAACAAGGGGTCAAGAGTCACAGAGGTTCATACGGGAAACTGTGTTTGTTGACATAATCTCTAAGAAATTAATGAAATTTATTTCCTACTCATTTCATTGATTTATCAATTGGACCATTAGTACTAGATTAACAAATGGAGTAAAAACGCTATGCAATGCAGAGCTGGGATTTCAGAGGTGCAGCAAAGGAGAAAATCAAATATGGAAAAATGACAAAATGGCGAACAAGGAACATTTTCTCATGAATATGACAATATAAAATTGAATAACTAATAACTAACAGATGTTGGAAAGCTGCCTTTTCCTTTGAATTATATCTAGTGCTTTCACTACCATTGGAAGAAGAGATGCAGTCATTTGATAGGAAAGCCATGCATTTGTATGATGGTCCACAGAAAATCAAATCTAATTCTCTCTTCCAAAGCAGTAGGACACTCTTTCTCTTTATCCACAGCATTTAGTATTACAGCACATTCTTTCTTTCTTTTTGTTGCAAGCAGGTGATAAACGTCATTCGTGTTACATTTGCATGAAGGCAGTGGAGGAGTCTGAAGGGAAGTTTGAGAAAAATAGAGGCATAATTATAGTACAGAAACAGGAAAAGCTGAAAAAACCTGATGTGCCTTTTCAGCTTCAGCAATGAAATCTTATGCAGGACAAACATTCCTATAACTTCCACATCCATTGTTCATCAGACAATGCAATAAAATACCTTCTGATTAAACCTAAAACAATAAAATAATGGCAACAGCACTGAACTTGATAATACATATATACATGATAATTCCCTGTGGGAAAGTTAGCATCTGAACATGTAAAAATCAAATCTTCCTTTGATGACTTAGTATGCTGCTGCTGAAACTACTTCTAAGTTCACTTCTGTGTCATGTCAAATCAGAGACAAACAGTTTACATTCCTTCACAATCCCCTGAACAGACAAGCTAAGATAAATGCCAGATGAAGAGGAAAATGCAACTAATGATTTATCTTAGTTCTGTTCAAACTGATTAATGCAAGAAATAATTATCTAGAGCTGTGTTATAAATTTGTATTGTGATATTGGCTTTCGCAGATGAATATTATATGTTAAATACTTTTTAGCTATGTATGTACTTTTTTCTTGCTAACAAGTCTTAAGCTTAAAAGAATTTCCTAGGTACAAGGCAAGGAAACCCCAGAGGGCAAGGACAGTGGGGCCCAAGCTGTTATCAGGAGAACAATAGAGGCCAAACTGTTATCAGCGGAAGATATGAAACCCAGCTGACCTCAGGGGAAGGATGACGGCCCCGGACTGTTATCTACCCTGACCATTTGCAAAAAGAAAGGAAACCAAACTCCAGAAAAATGCTGACCAGCAAGAATAATGATGACCAGCAAAAAATATATGTTAACCAGCAGAAAATAAAACTGTGAAGAGCATGATCCAAAAAGGCGGAACCAGGGAGGGGACATGCTTGAATATGCATTAACCCCTCACAGCAGGAGGGGATAAAAAGGGTATCCCTGAGATACCAGGTGTGTTCCTGGCAAGGCGCCAGGGCACCCGGCCGTTTTAACCCTTTGCTTTATTTCTTATGTCTCCTAATTGTCTTTTATTTATATTAAATTCTTTTTATAATTTATTAAGTGAATCTCGTTTTTAAGAGCTGGAACTTTTGACTTAGCAAGCATGTGACATATGACTACATACATGGTTTTCTATTCATAACTCCTTCATGCTGGAATTTTAGTGCTGGCACACAGGTACTATGTAAGTCTGATACAATAAGTAGAAAAATGGCAAGTTCAAGGCAATGCTTGCCTATTTCCT